GATACAGGTTGATCTGTTGTGATTTGCACCTATGAAAGTTGGGTTTCCCAGGTGAATTTGCAGAGGGTCACCAGGGGGCAGAGGCGGAGAGCTTCTCCAACAGCAGGAGCTGCCTTAACAAGGTGCTAACAAGTGGTCATTGGCACTTCCCACTTCTCTGTTTTTTTTTTAATTGGTCTTGCTGATGCTATGAAAACAGTGAAAATCTCTTCCACCGCTGAGGTGAAACCTTTTAAAAAATGGTTTGGAGACGGGGTACTTGATTGAGGGGAACTGGCAATCCTGGAAGTGCCCCTTTCCTTTGGGTAAGGTAATCACACTGGCCGAAAGCGGGTAAAAGTGATGTCAAAACAACTGTAGTAAATTTAAATCACCCCAGCAGCTGAACAAAAAAAAGGACCATACCCTGGTCAAAAAACACATCCACAATAGGCTTCTCCACATACAGCGTTATGTTGGGTAGCCTACAAATTCAGAGGTTCTCCCTTTTTCCCCTTATGTGATGGTATTTCTCCTCCATTTGTCGACAAATTATGTTGTATTATTCTGAATTACAATGTCCGAGGCTGTTTCCCACTCCTGCTGTAGCCTAAAAGGCAACTGATTTCTTGAGTATGGCTCAAGTAGGGTTTGGGGAAGAAAAGATTAAAATCACCACCAGTTTCCCCTCTGCCCTGCCTCTCTCACTGCTGCTGTAGCCCAATAGAATGGCTTCAGAGAGAACCCCTCCACATCAACCCAAGCAATCACACTGACTGGACTGATGTAACTGCAATCAAGTAGAAGCCCCAGTGGCAAAGGGGAAAAATATGGTTGGTGGCAGGGAACGCCAGGCTGATCTGCACTGACCTATGTATCATGTGGTCAGTGGAAAATAATATGAATCTGACTATCCCAATCCTGGAGCAACCCCCATATTATTTGCCAATATAATCACCCCTTGAGTCTTGTTAAATTTTGTTTCACCTGTCATTAGAACAGAACTGTCCTCCGCCCAACATATTATATTATTTACAGTGGTGCCTCACAAGATAAATGCCTCGCAGGACAAAAAACTTGCAAGACAAATGGTTTTGGCAATGAGGTTGATGAATTGCAAGACAAATGTTCCTATGGCCATGCTTTGCAAGAAGTATGTTGTCCGTTTTTTGTTCCTGCCTCATGTTTGCTGATTTTTAAATGTATTTCTATTATGTTTTAAAAGTTAAAGTTTTTTTTATTGAATTTTTTAAAATCATCTGCACAATATGCATGGCTTCAAAGAGCACTTAATGAATCCTTTGTAAACCAAATTTGACTTTGTTCTGACTTTTTTTGCTCATAGGAACGCATTAATTAGATTTCAATGCATTCCTATGGGAAAACACATTTCGCAAGACAAATTTTTCTCAAGACAACATTAACCATAGAATGAATTAAATTCATCTTGTGAGGCACCACTGTATAATAAACACATGCCATCAAGTCAATTCTGACTTATTGCGGCCCCTTTCATATAGCAACAATACTATATATCAAATTGCTTTGTTAGATGTTCCTTTGACAAACATTGTTATTCAAACGGCTGTTATTCTTTCATTACATTGCACTGCTTTGATTGCCTTTCATGTTATTATCTAGTCATTTAGTTTGGAAATGTAATATGATGAAACATCGGCGATGTTCCTGCACAAAGAATTAATAAGAACATTTAATTTATTTTAGTAGTTATCCTCAGACTATTATATAGTATCTGTAATCCAATGCACACTTACTTAAGAGTAAGCTTGTTTCCTTTATTGGGTTCATTTCTGAGTATCAAGCTGCT